TATTTAGTTAGGTAAGTAGTAGTTACTTACTACTAGTAGGTAAGGAAGAATAATTTTACTTTTTATTTGTAGTAATTAGTAGAGTATATTAGTACGTAGTATACACACACACACACACACACACACACACACACACACACACACACACACACACACACACGGATGTATGTAATTATAAGAATGAAGTTTCTTGTACACTTGTACTGTCCAAGAGGGTGAAAAGGATATATTTTTTAAAGATGTTTCAACAACGTATTGTTGTAGAGTATTCACTGTTTGTAGATGTTCTGTGGCTCATGATGTATATGTACTTAAATACTTGCAGAACTAATATAGAGCTATTTTGTTCACAATTATATAAGCACAGACATAGATACATTGAAACAGTTTGAATATATCCTGATGAAAGGTTTATTTGAGAAATATGGTAAGTCTGATCAGATTCTGTTAAATGTTATGGATTCAAAGAAACAATTCAGAATAAATACTTGAACTTTGACTCACCTTTACAAAAAACTGATTTTCATTTTCCAGAAATTTGTATTTGCTTCATTATAAAAGATAATGATACATTTTTCTCAATGTAGTGAGCCATAAATAATTTTATCCTCTCTCACGCTTGCATATGTTTTAAAAGATGGTACAAATATTAATTCTTGTTTTCTTATTTTTTTCATCTTATAGGCTTTTGGACAGACTTTCATATCTGATGATCGTTTTCTTGCAACAGTGGGTTCTGTAGCATCAGTCTTTAATGCTGTTGGTCGGATTTTATGGGGAACTTTGCAGGACAAAACTTCATACAAAGTATGAAATCTGACAGTGAATCTTAAGGTGTTATAATGAATTTTATGTAAAAAATAATTGATTCTGTGTTTGATGTATTAGGCATATTGAACATATTTGTAGACCTGTAGTGTATTTCAGAGTATAGTGGACAAATGGATTACTAAAATAAACAAAGAGCATACATAAGTAATTATATTCACGTTCAGCAATGTATTTCACTGCTGATGCTATAAACTAGAATGATGAATAAATGAAAAATGTTTGAATAACTGATTTATTATTTTCTAGCTCAGCAACAGTAGAAGAACATTTAAAAGTCACTTGCTAATAACATTATGCATTTCTTGTCGTACTTTCCATTATTCAAATTCAGTAGGTCTTTAAGCTTCATATTGCATATTGACACACTTTATATCTTTGTTTATAATAGACATGTATGGTTTTCCTCTGTGGATTTCTTTGTGCACTGATGATGAGCTTCATTGCTACTCCTCAAGGGGAGAAAGCCATGTTTACTGTCTGGGTTTTGTTGATTTTCTTCACTTTTTCTGGATTGTTTGTACTGCTTCCAACAACAACAGCTCAGACTTTTGGTCCTCTGTATGCAGGAACTAACTATGGCCTGATTTTCACAGCTCCTGTAAGTATAATAGTTTGTGGTGCACCTTCACTATGTTCTAATACAATATTTTTTGTGGAAAGTACATTGCTTTCCTTAAAGTTAAATACTTATGTGATAGAAAAAACTTGTATTTGTTTAGACTGTAATACCTATTTTTAAATCTTGTTTTATAAATATTTGTTTGTATATTACCTACATTTTAATAAAAAAAAAATCTTAATTTCAACTGGCTTCCTTCTAGTTAATACTTTGTAATTACGGATGACCATATCTGAACCCTAGGAGTCCCTGATGCTGTTTTTGGCCCATATGTGTATAAGGTACAGTTAAATGTGAAAATACCAAAACTAATATGTATGTAATTTTATTTGTAACTGTTATTTATTATACATTTATCAAATGAGTATAATTAAATAAATGCATATATATATATATTTATAGCCCACATACTATTATATATATAGAAAATGAACCAGCTTTAACAATAACTTAAGTGCTTTTTGTTAGGTATTGGGACTACAGGGATGGCTAAAACACATTTTCGGGTAGATGCAGCCACAGAAATCCTCACCTTATTTTCACCCCTGATTATCATCTGCATTCAGTTTGTTTTTTTCATGCCAGATTTTACTTACTTTTCAGAAGCCATCATCATGAAAAAGACTTCAGTAATAATCACTAAAACATATAAATTTTCATTTAAGTTAGTTATCAAGGTTCTATTCCAGAGAACTTAAATCATGATAAGAATATTGTAATAATTCATCAGTTAACTCTTTCACCTTGGGCTCAGTCCCTGGGACTGACCTCATAACCATTTTGTGCTTGTTATAGTTTTCATGTTATTACTTTTAAATTAGTAAGTGTATCTTAATGAAAGTTGGCAGATTATCAGTAAACATTACAATGCTTTCATATGCAAAATATCAATTTTTTTTGTTATTAAGTCTTAAGGTTTGTAAAGCAATGTTTTTCTCATGCTTTTTTTTCCACATGTTGCATATCTAACAGGCAAAGTAATTTTCATTATAAAATTAAAAATACTTTTATGCATTAGAAAATTTTCAGATTTCACATGCGGAATCTTTATAAAGTCCAGATAGTTATCAAATGTTTGTTAAGCAAAACTTTGTATTTTATCTGTTAAGCTATTTAGTCTAAACATATCTATAAGTCTCATAACATTATACATTTGTATATATCTATC